CTTAAACATAACAGGCAATGAATTCTAATCACTATACAGTATCAGTAAACACTAATGAGCATGTTTATTCTGAACGTTATTTCTTGTCACATCTCAATGCGGGGCGGTCGGGTAGCCTAGTGGTTAAAGCGTTCGCTCGTCACGCCGAAGACCCGGGTTCGATTCCCGACATGGGTATAATGTGTGAAGCACATTTCCGGTGTCCCCCGCCGTGAAATTGCTGGAATATTGCTAAAAGCGGCGTAAAACCACACTCACTCGCTTATATCTCAGTGCAACAACACAAAGAAAGATCATCTAACATTCAAGAACTCAAGTTTGTTTGTTTGTTGATTGATGAATGTCCAATTACCCCAATTGCATGGATCGGTGGTTATGACATCACTCACTGGATTGTCTGGTCCAGAATCGATTATTTACAGACCGCCGTCATATAACTGGAATATTGCTGAGTGCGGCCTTAAACAACAAACAAACAAATCACATCCACGTCGCTATGTTTGTGCAATAATCTTGAACGCGACGTTAAACTCTATTTCACCTCACAACGTGACGTCTTCAGAGTAGAGTTGTTCACAGCTGAACTTTCGAAAGTTCGCGCAACTCTCCACCTTTTAAATTAAACCCCTGGACTTTATACTGTTCAAAAGTTCAAAGCTTGGAAGCCTTGAAAATAAAACAAATGTGTTCAAAAGATTTTCTAACATTTTTTCTCAAAATTTAATTTCGATTAATGTAGATCTCATGAATCAGGAAGGGCCTGTATCGGGTTATGTTCGTTAAAAGTACAGTTTATCTCTTAAACGACATCTCGCAACATATTACACTTAAACCCATGAGGCTGACCTCGACGGTCAAGTTCGTTTCATCTTATATAAGGCGAGATGTAAATGCGGCTGTCAAATCTACCTGAAGGTTTAGTGTTTTAACGCCCAGTAGCCTTCGGTGCATCTTCTAAGAGACTATGTATATGCTGCTGTTATTTGTACCTACAGGGGCAGTGTGGCTACCGCACTGAATACATTGGGGAGTTTTATGGATGGCACAGCTACTCGTCAGTTCCTCTCGGTACAGGTTACATCAGACTTCGCGTTCGATTCTGATATATAACAGTTTCTAGGTCATGCGCTGGCGATGGGTTTAAATACCCTTGATCTTGTAACCCTTTGCTCCAAATCCTACAAATCTATTCAAAACAAAATTATGAAGATATTATTTCATTTTATCGGGAACACAGCAGTTGAAAGAAAAGAAAGAGTTTAATTTGTACAGAAATATGTTTAGGGGATCTAAAATGTCAGATGGAGAAGACATTCTGCCTGCTATTAAGTTAACATGTTTTCGAATAGCTATATCTAAAATGTCAAAATTATATCCCTTATATGTTAAAGGACCTAAAGTTAAAGGTACCAATTTGAGAATATATAATATTATTTCTAATAACAATAAAATAAGTTTTGGGCTGATGTGCAGAGGAAATATTTAAAGATTATATATAGTATAATGTTCAACTTGATATAGTATCACAAAGTTTATGGTACAATGATCAAACAAAAATGGACGTAAAACTGTTTGCTAAACATTTGTATTCTCAAAGAACTACGTGGCCATTAATCGTTTATTGAAATAAAGAAAAATATAGAACGAAGATGAACATTTCACAATACAATAGTATGTTAAGATGTGTAAAAAAATAAGTAATAACAGTACTCGCAAAAGATAACGCGTCCGTTGAAACCATTACGTTTGGTCTTGTTGAATGAATATGAAAATTGCTGTAAAACGTTAAACTTTTATGATAAATATATTTAAAATACAGATAGCAAGCCAAACTGTGAAGAAATATCTGATCATGTATTAGGCATACATGTTACAATTAAAAATTGGAATGATTCATTTGCTACCATTTGAATGTACAAAAAATGCCAAATTACGATGGTTTTTACAACAGAGAACTATAGCAACAACAAAATTACTGAAAATGATAAAACGAAAAACATAATTCCTGTGACATTTGTCCCTTTTCTGTTGTAACAATACAATATCTTTTGTATACTTATCATACAGTAGGTAATGTTTTCATTTGTAATAAAACGTCTTATACAATTAGCAATATGACAGAACATTTTATGCCTCTCATGGGTACCGTTAGTATACATAATATAATAAATATAATATTAATGAACAGAAAGTCCTACATATGCTTATGTAAAATGAAAAGACGCCATTCAAAACGTAAACGCCTACATAAAATTTTAAAATTGGAATATTTATAAGAAAACTGAAATGCCTATATATCAGGGAGGTGAATGTGAGGAAAGGTTGAAAAAACAATATTGCTATTTTAACAAGTTAATATAAAAAAACGAAAAAACCCTTTCCATATTCATAGTAAAATTCTACCAAAAGCAGAGCCGAATGTCGGATTCTGACTATACAAAGAGCATGTGTTGATGGATCATATAAAATAGTGATGATACCAGGTGTTCGTGAAAAGGTGGGCGTACCTGCCCCACCGGTGATACCCGTCACAAACACACGCAAAGGCAAGTCAACAGGTCGTCTTAGAACACACGGGAACATATGGTAAAAGTCAAAATAGGGAATTGCAGGGGACATCATTTTTGTCACTGACAGCAAATTTTGAAACGTCCTTAACGTGTTAACCATATAACGTTTTAAAAGCTTTACTGAGGTCACCCCTCTTGTTATACAGTCTTGTGGAGAGTGGTTTGTCACTCTGAACCATTATGCATATATCTAAATAAATAGATACGGCAGTCTCACTTGTCTTCTTAATGTGTAGGATAAAACATGTCAGAGGGTTTTTATGAAATTTCAAACCCAAATCCAAAGTATGAAACAGAGGTTTTATCCCGATGATGAGGGTTTTAAATCTCATAGAAACCCGAGGGTAAGTGTTTTATCTAACTTCCGTTCAATAAGTTTTGCAGTTAATTCACGCACCCTACAGCCCAGACTTCGCCCCCAGTGACCATTTCCTGGTCCGGCAAATGAAATCTGCCCTACGTGGTAGACGCTTCCAGGATGACGAGGACATAAAGGCTGCCACAGAGGCGTGGTCAGAGGGCCAATCTATGGATTTCTATAAAAGTGGTATTCAAAGCTTGAAGGACAAATGGAATAAGTGTATTGAGGTGAATGGAGATTATATTGAAAAATAAAAGTGCAAAAGATATTCGGCGACTTGGTCTTATATCAGCCAAATCAGAATAACGAAAAACATGAACCTTAAAAAGCGGGCGTAAAATATATGTTGATGGCGCACGGGTACTTCCTCTTGAAAATAACATTCAAAAAGACTTGAAATAGACATTCATAATAAGTTGTAGCAGGATCATGGTATAAAACCTAACGCGGCACGCATGAAACCCATTTACCCCTCGTGATACTGCTGCAACGAATTTATCTTACCGACGTATTGTAATGTGACATTGTAAAAGAATTTAAACAAATGAGGTTATTGCCGCTTCTTGCTTTGAAGCGGGGAAAAGGGATTCATTCTGCCTCTCAAAAATCCAGCCTGACTTGTCGTGGGGCGGGGTATAAGAGATAATTCACACGCTGAGAAATTCATTTCCCCCAAGACGTGCACCAGTCCGATCTCATCATTCTGACATGGAGGTATGATAAGGTAAATTATCAGCGCATCTGTTGCCTTGTGGTACACTTACACTCGCTGGGCAACAGTTCGATCCGCGGGCTAAAAAGAAAACATTTGTGATATTAATTAATCACATTCTTGTCGTGAGCCTAAATGAAGTGAAGTGAAGATAGGCGATGACAATGTCAGTGTTTGCGAACTGGTGTATGCTCCCATAAAATGTCGCGGTATTGACAGGCGTTGACCACCCGACCCCGTTAGTCGCCTCGTCAACATTAGGAAGATGTAATGTTGTTGTTGTTTAATAACGCCGGCGCACATAGCAATATTCCAGCAATATGACGGCGGTCTGTAAATAATCGAGTCTTTGCTAGACAAACCAGTGATTCACATCATGAGCATCGATCTACTCAATTGGGATACGATGACACGCATCAATAAGTCAGCGAGCCTGATCACCAGATCCCGTTAGTCGGCTCTTACGACAAGCATAGTCGCCTTTTACGGCAAGTATGGGTTGCGGAAGACCTATGGGATGAAGATATAATAACATTACATCTTCATAATCTCGACATTCAAATTCAGTGTGGAATACACTTCTACGTTGATGTGAAATTATCAAACAAGCATTCCTTACTCGTTATTCTTTGTTTCCCCACGACGTGATATACTCCGTAACTCTTTCCAAAATGTACGTGACTGAATCAGGGAGAGACATCTTTCGTTCCATAAACTGATTCTCAATAATGAGCGACTTCTTGGATCTCCCGGGGGCACGGGTGGCCCAGTCGTCTAAGGCGCCGCGATTCGCTGTGCAGAGTTGCGTCCCTTGGGCACGCCAGAAACCTATGATTGTGGGTTCGAATCCCGGTTCGCCCTGATTATGTTTCTAGGTTTGTCAGCACCATACCCGTGCTCGTGGGTTTCACCGAAGTGGTAAACGTCTGAGACCTGCATCACTTCGGGCTTTCCTCCCACATTAAGCTGACACGCCGCGATATAACTGGAATAATGTTAAAAGCGGCGTTAAACCCAACTCACTCACTCACTCTTGGATCTCCCGCACGTCGGGCGTCGCCTTCGAATATATACAAAAACATCCCAGGACATCTCTCAACCTGGGACCACTGTTAAGGGGCCCTCACACTTTGCCGAGTTGCGTCCCGAGTATGGACCCGAGCTGGCTCGGGGGTACTCGTATGGAACTCGTAGCGAGGTCGTACTAAACTCGGGGTAACTCGGCAAACCTCGTACTGATCTACGAGAGTTTGGGAACTGCTCAAAACACTCGGGCCGCCAGCCAACTCGTAACAAACTCGTAACACACTACTCGGAGTACCCTCGTGGCGACCTCGTGGTGCACGTACAGAACTCGTATGAGGATCGTCTGTAAAATGTATTGCCGAGTTGACCGAGTCGAACACGAGCTATACGAGCCTCCATGTTACATCATGTGACAAATTCCCGCCGATTCTTTTAGCAGCTCGTCGCCACCTCGTAGCAACCTCGTACCAAACTCGAACAGCTCGTATCGCGATCGTTGTGCTCGTATGCTACTCTTAATAGACTCCTATTAGACTCCTATTGGACTCCTATTGGACCCCTAATGGACTCCTTTTTGGTTCGTAACACACTCGTCGCGTACTCATATGTTTCTCGTATATATGTAGTCTCTTCCCGAGTCCTAACCGAGTTAGGCTCGGGAGAGCTGGGCAACAACCTCGACAAAGTGTGAGAGCTTCTTCAGATAACGCGTCCTATATTTATCGCGACTCGGCGTCCATAACTGGCACAGTTAACAAAATCTTAGTGACAATGCAGATCAAAGGAAAGGTTGCCGTAGTTACCGGTGGTGCAGGCGTTCTTGGACAAGCAATGGTTAGAGCTTTGTTGGAAAAAGAAGCCAAGGTAACGACACAATGATGAGTTTTACAATACTTGTTTTTCAGCTTAGTAGGGCGAAGTTTGATCTCCTCCGCAGTTCAAGGGCTACCCTACGTGCAGTATCGCAATTGCAACAACCTTCCTCGTTATAGGGCGAATTTCATATGGTGCTGAGTATCTGGAACCTCTCGTTGAAAAAAGGATATATCCGTTCTTTTCATATCCTCATGCTTCCTGTTGAATTATTTTTGTTAGAGAAAGACCGCAAAAGTAATAAGCCGTGTTTATACCCTTAATGTACCATTAAATCTGGCGAGGTTATAGTAAATAACAAATCAGCTCAAAAGTTGATTCATTAATGATACGCAAAAAGAAATATATAAGTGCATATTCTGCAGTTCCGTTGGTCTTATACAATTGCACTACCTGGACAGGTCTAGCATGTGTTTTTCTATTGCTGAACGTGTCGCTTTGTCAAAGAGGTGTTTGTCAGGGTGCTGTCTGATATAAAACGAAAAGCACCTTCATGCATTGATTGACCTTGTTTGTTTGTTTTGTTTGTTTAACGCCGCCCTCAGCAACACTGCCGTCCTATAGTTGGACTATAGCTGAGTGCAGCGTTAAACTACTAACAATGTAGTGAATATGTGAGTATGGATTTTCGCCGCTTTTTAGCAACATCACGGCGGGGGAGTCTAGAAATAGGCTTCACACATTGTACCCATGTTGGGAATCGAACCCGGGTCTTCGGCGTGACGAGCCAATGCTTTAACCACTAGGCTACCCGACCGCCCCAACAAACAATGTAAATAATCGAGTCAGGACCAGAGAATCCAGTGATTGACATCAAGAGCATTGATTCACGCAATTGGGATACGATGACATGCATCAACCAGGTCAGCGAGTCTGAGCACCCGATCGCGTTAGTTGCCTCTTACGGCAAGCATTGTCGTCTTTTACGGAAGAATGGGTTGCTAAAGACCTATTCTACCCTGGATCTTCACGGGGCCATTGTACATGATAACATAATAACATAATAACATTACATCTTCATAATCTCGACATTCAAATTCAGTGTGGAATACACTTCTACGTTGATGTGAAATTATCAAACAAGCATTCCTTACTCGTTATTCTTTGTTTCCCCACGACGTGATATACTCCGTAACTCTTTCCAAAATGTACGTGACTGAATCAGGGAGAGACATCTTTCGTTCCATAAACTGATTCTCAATAATGCGCGACTTCTTGGATCTCCCGCACGTCGGGCGTCGCCTTCGAATATATACAAAAACATCCCAGGACATCTCTCAACCTGGGACCACTGTTCAGGGGCTCTCACACTTTGCCGAGTTGCGTCCCGGGTATGGACCCGAGCTGACTCGGGGGTACTCGTATGGAACTCGTAGCGAGGTCGTACTAAACTCGGGGTAACTCGGCAAACCTCGTACTGATCTACGAGAGTTTTGGAACTGCTCAAAACACTCGGGCCGCCAGCCAACTCGTAACAAACTCGTAACACACTACTCGGAGTACCCTCGTGGCGACCTCGTGGTGCACGTACAGAACTCGTATGAGGATCGTCTGTAAAATGTATTGCCGAGTTGACCTAGTCGAACACGAGCTATACGAGCCGCCATGTTACATCATGTGACAAATTACCGCCGATTCTTTTAGCAGCTCGTCGCCACCTCGTAGCAACCTCGTACCAAACTCGAACAGCTCGTATCGCGATCGTTGTGCTCGTATGCTACTCTTAATAGACTCCTATTAGACTCCTATTGGACTCCTATTGGACCCCTAATGGACTCCTTTTTGGTTCGTAACACACTCGTCGCGTACTCATATGTTTCTCGTATATATGTAGTCTCTTCCCGAGTCCTAACCGAGTTAGGCTCGGGAGAGCTGGGCAACAACCTCGACAAAGTGTGAGAGCTTCTTCAGATAACGCGTCCTATATTTATCGCGACTCGGCGTCCATAACTGGCACAGTTAACAAAATCTTAGTGACAATGCAGATCAAAGGAAAGGTTGCCATAGTTACCGGTGGTGCAGGCGTTCTTGGACAAGCAATGGTTAGAGCTTTGTTGGAAAAAGAAGCCAAGGTAACGACACAATGATGAGTTTTACAATACTTGTTTTTCAGCTTAGTAGGGCGAAGTTTGATCTCCTCCGCAGTTCAAGGGCTACCCTACGTGCAGTATCGCAATTGCAACACCCTTCCTCGTTATAGGGCGAATTTCATATGGTGCTGAGTATCTGGAACCTCTCGTTGAAAAAAGGATATATCCGTTCTTTTCATATCCTCATGCTTCCTGTTGAATTATTTTTGTTAGAGAAAGACCGCAAAAGTAATAAGCCGTGTTTATACCCTTAATGTACCATTAAATCTGGCGAGGTTAAAGTAAATAACAAATCAGCTCAAAAGTTGATTCATTAATGATACGCAAAAAGAAATATATAAGTGCATATTCTGCAGTTCCGTTGGTCTTATACAATTGCACTACCTGGACAGGTCTAGCATGTGTTTTTCCATTGCTGAACGTGTCGCTTTGTTAAAGAGGTGTTTGTCAGGGTGCTGTCTGATATAAAACGAAAAGCACCTTCATGCATTGATTGACCTTGTTTGTTTGTTTTGTTTGTTTAACGCCGCCCTCAGCAACACTGCCGTCCAATAGTTGGACTATAGCTGAGTGCGGCGTTAAACTACTAACAATGTAGTGAATATGTGAGTATGGTTTTTCGCCGCTTTTTAGCAACATCACGGCGGGGGAGTCTAGAAATAGGCTTCACACATTGTACCCATGTTGGGAATCGAACCCGGGTCTTCGGCATGACGAGCCAATGCTTTAACCACTAGGCTACCCGACCGCCCCAACAAACAATGTAAATAATCGAGTCAGGACCAGAGAATCCAGTGATTGACATCAAGAGCATTGATTCACGCAATTGGGATATGATGACATGCATCAACCAAGTCAGCGAGTCTGAGCACCCGATCGCGTTAGTTGCCTCTTACGGCAAGCATTGTCGTCTTTTACGGAAGAATGGGTTGCTAAAGACCTATTCTACCCTGGATCTTCACGGGGCCATTGTACATGAACAGTAGAACCGGTGTGACGCGGGACTATTTGGAGAACGATGTTATTCACCATGTTGAAAGTAATATTTACTTAGTAGAGCTTTTTACACAATTTGAGATGGAAAGTATTCATATGATAAATTACTAAATAGCTTTGGAAAAACTCTTTTGGAAATGTGTTCAAATTTGAACATACATGTTGTGAATGGAAGATTTGGAACTGACTATCAAATCGGTGACTGTACATTAATTGGTCATTTAGTGAGTGAGTGAGTTGGGTTTAACGTCACTTTGAACAGTATTCCAGTCATATCACGGCGTGTCAGCTTAATGTGGTAGGAAATCCCGAAGTGATGCACGTCTCAGACGTTTACCACTTCGATGAAACCCACGAGCACGGGTATAGTGCTGACAACCCTAGCAACATAATGGGCCCCAAGGGACGCAACTCTGCACAGCGATTCGCGGCGCCTTAGACAACTGGGCCATCCGTGCCCCCTATTGGACATTTTTGGTGTATTGTGATAGATTATTGTTATGAATGTCTCTGTAAAAACAACATGAACGGTGCCATTATTTAAATGCGTTCAGAAGAATCTAAAGATAACTCATACCTTTTTAAGTATAACAAAGTTTGCAAGAATACAAATAACTCTGTCGAATCAAGAAGGACCAGTTTGCACAATGTAAAAGGAGTGACCTAGAAAATGCAACAGCAGTAGACTCTAAACGTTTCTGGGACATCACAAAGCGTGTCTCTGAAAGACCGCAATGACCCAACCCTATTGATATACAAGACTGGGTAAAATGTTACAGTTATGTAAAGACTAACAACAGAAAATCTGGTATATTTGTTGCTTCATGGGTGTGAGCCAAGGGTGTATGCTTTGTCACTTTTTGTTTCAGTTTTTTTTAAATACACGAATTGGTTACCGAAATGGAACACAATTGTCGTTACATTCGGAATGTATTTATATTTGTTTACTTCTATTTGCGGAAGACCTTATTGTGTTTGGCAATACTGTCAACAACAATTGTAACAATAGATTACTGATGTCGAATGCTTAAATAATATTGCAATTCAGGCAAGAAAGGTGTTCATGGTCCTGTTAATTAGTATAAATTCCTTGAAACCATACTCGCTTCACTTTTACTTCAAATGTTCAGATGCAAAGATAACACCAATACTTTTATACGGAGCTGAAATTTGGGGTTCAGTGACATAGAACCGAGCCTGGCAGATGTTCTATTCAGTCGCTCGCTGTTTTGAAATGTTTTAAATATTGTCTGTCTCTTTATGATATGCAGGAATCTCGTTTACCCCCAAAAAAGTTATAATATGTTGCGGTTGTATATGAAATACTTCGAGGGACATTGTCGCGTTGTCGCATTGTCGCCCTTGTAAAAACAAGCAAAAAATGTCAAAATTAGCCAAAGAGCGACAATGCGACAACGCGACATTTTGGCCATTTGTCACATTGTTGCGTTGTCGCATTGTAAGATGTCCGAAGGCTTATGTGACGTATTGCCATCCGTCTTTGTACGGCGTGCGTCATCCGTCATGCGAAATCTATTCACACTACGATTTCTGTGGTCCGAAGTTCTGTGGTGGGCTTATGTCAGCTCCCACAGAAGACCGAATGGTCGGTTCCTAATTATAACTGACAAGAAATACTCTACATGCCGTATGCCTAATGTTCTTTTTCGCTATTTTCAATCAACAATGGTCTTACTACAGTATATGCTAGACTGCTATAGAAAAGGTATAGACTTCATATCCGAAAAATATAAACTTTAAATGGCTATATTTGCTCGGCACTGTACTTTGGAAACCTACGGGTTTTTTTTAACCAAACATCATTGCATTGGAATTCCTTTCGTTTGTAATAGCATATGATTCTGTATGCTTGACTGTCATAACCGTAATACTGCAACAAAATGCCAATCTTTTTATGCCTAAAACTCTGTTAATGTACCATTCTAACAACCCAACATCATCTACAACTTGGTCTGATCTGCTTGGGCTGAGTCCTCCTTTCCGTCGTTACGGTATTAGGATGGTAACGAGGTTACCTTTCAGAGTATCGAAACATAACCTTTGTAAAACAGTAAGTTGGATAAAATTTGGTTTAAGGGATTAAGGGTCATCAATCCTTATATGAAGCCTGAATATAACAACCAGGTGGTCGTTGTAGAGAGGGAATCTAAAAATCATTAGTCATTTGCACATCTAGACAAAGTACGATCAATTAAATCTGCGAAGTTTAATGAAAGTTCGATAAGTATTATTTCATAGTGATAACCCTTAATGTAAAACAAATATTATCTATCACTTCAACTCTTAATGTAAACATTTTTACATTGAGAGTATTTTTTTACATTAAGAGTTGTAACAAGGGTGAACCCGCAACACTTAATGTAAAAAATTTTACATTAAGAATAATTTTTACATTAAGGGTTGTAACACTGCGTTCCTACTGGTGCATGACATTCTCTCTTGAAACTTTATATACTGTTATAGTGCAAACCATTTCAATACTTTAATTTAAAATAGTGCAAACCATTGCGAGCCAACGCTTTAACCACTTGGCTACCCCATCGTCCCGGTCGACTCTGAAATTCACAGAGCTGCTATATGACAACTCTTTTAAGAAAGATAAGACAACCCATGATGTATCGCTGTCCCGTGAAGATCCGGGGTGGAATAGGTCTTCAGCAACCCATGCTTCCTGTAAAAGGCGACTGTGCTTGTCGTAAGAGGCGACTAACGGGATCGGGTTGTCAGGCTCGCTGACCTTGGTTGATGCATGTCATCGGTCCCAATATAGCTGGAATATTGCTGAGTGCGGCGTTAAACAAACAAACCAATCATCTCTCCGGACTTATCAGACCAAGATGTTTGTTTCTTTAACTTCATCTTAACATTGATCACATGCTCTTGACGTAACTGATACATGTATCTAAATAATGTAGGTGTGTGTCTTTGACATCAACGCTGCGAGAGGTGCTGAGATAGAGGCATCACTACAGAGCCAGTTTGGAGGAGGTCAGGCATCCTTCTCGCTGTGTGATGTAACTGACGAAAAGGGTTTTAAAGGTATGAAGCAAATATGTCCTCATCTTAATCCCGTATTTGTGACATGGGAAACACATACAATAAATGATTCTGCTAAGGAATGTGCATCAACAGTCTTATCACATGCAGAAGGTACATTCAATGCTGATGACGTTTCTAGTTTAACATGACAGGTCTGCAAAAGGGTTAATGCAGTATGTTTTAACTGTAAAGTTAGATTTGAATTCAGGATATGTTATCGGAATTTAACAACATGGAGAAATACTGCGTGAAGAAAATGTCAAACTTTACTGCACGTTTTTCGTATATGTTAGTAAATGAATCTTTGTTTCTAAAACAGAATTTACTTTCACGTTGAACTGAGGTCGATTTGATGATATTCAAAGGGACAACATGAGGACTGCAAACAAATCCATATGCTGCAACAGCCCCGTCTTCAGCACAGTTGGGGAAATTTTACAAATCCCATAATGAACCCTCTCAATGCACGTTCATATCTGTTTCTCAGAGGCCTTCGACGGAGTTGTGGCGCGTCATGGACGGGTGGACATCATGGTCAATAACGCAGGAATCGTCAACGAGAGGATGGACATTGACAAAGGGCTTATGGTCAACCTGGTGAGACAATATAGCTTATTCAGCATTAGCTTGAATGTCTGATATAAAAAACTAATACGATCTGAAGAGTGTAGGTGAGGTGAGGTGAAATTGGGTTTAACGTTGCGTCCAAGATTATTGCACTTATATAGCGACGTGCATGCACGTGTTTGTGTGTGTGTAGCTGCTTGTACTAGTCCGGACTGATGCCGATTTATAGTGCTAGCCCACTGAGATAACATGCCGCAGTTTAACATGAATACCCCACTCAGACACAGTATACTGACTCCGAGCCGACCTGTCCTTGTTTTAGCCCCTTAATGTCGAGCGCCAGACAGGGTAACAACAAGTACAATCTTTTAACGTCTTTTTGTATGACGCGGCCGGGGATCGAACCCCGGACCTTCCGCTCTCCGGGCGGACGCTCTACCACAAGACCACGGAGGCGGTCGAAGAGTGTGACAAAGACGTGATATATGTTTGTTTGTTGTTTAACGCAGCACCCAGCAATATCCCAGCCCTATGACGGCGTTCTGGAAGTAATCGTGTCTGGACAAGACATTCCAGTGATTGACGTCATGAGCATCGACAAACACAATTGAGATACGATGATATGCAATAGCCAAATCAGAAAGCCTGAGCACAGATCCCGATAGTCGCCTCTGACGACAATCTTGGATGCTGAAGACTAATTCATTTTCACGTTTAACGTGATTTATGTAAGCAGTTTGTTTTTGATCTCCATTCAGATCTGTTTAGGACTGGTGATTGCAGCTACAGTTAACTCTTCATCTGCAACTCCAGTTAACCCCTAATCTGAAACTGCAGTAAACTCCTCATGTGCAACAACATTTAACTCCTCTTCTGCAAGTAGATTTAACTCCCCTGAAACTATAGTTAAATCCTCTTCTACAACTACAGTTAACTCCTCATGTGCAATTCCAGTTAACTTCTCATGTGCAACTACAGTTATCTCCTCTTCTGCCACTAAAGTTAACTCTCCTGCACCTACAGTTAACTCCTCATCTGCAACTACAGTTATCTCCTCATGTGCAACTAAGTTTAATTCCTCATGTGCAACTACAGTTATCTCCTCTTCTGCAACTGCAGTTAACTCCCCTGCACCTACAGTTAACTCCTCATGTGCAACTACAGCTAACTCCTCATGTACAAATACATTTAACTCCTCTTCTGCATCTACAGTTAACTCCCCTCCAGCTACAGTTAATTCGTCAGCAGCTACAGTTATCTCCTCATATGCAACTACAGTTAACCCCTCCTCTGCAACTACAGTGAAACTCCCCTTTTGCAACTACAGTACAATTCTCATGTGCAACTAAAGTTAACTCCTCATGTGCAACTTAAGTTAACTCCTCTAAAAATACAGCTAAACTCCCATTCTGCAACTACAGTTAACTCCTCATGTGCAACTAAAGTTAACCCATCATCTGCAACTAAAGTTCACTTCATCTGCATCTACAGATTACTACTCATGTGCAACTACAGTTAACTCCTCATGTGCAACTACAGTTAACCCCTCATCTGCAACTACAGTTTACTCCTCATCTGCAACTAAAGTTAACCCCTCATCTGCAACTACAGTTAACTCCTCATGTGCAACTAGAGTTAACTCCTCTTCTGCAACGACAGTTAATTCCTTATATGTAACTACAGTTTACTACTCATCTGTTACTACATTTAACTCCTCCTCTGCAACTACATTAAACTCCTTATCTGCAATATGGTATCCGTTGTTCGGGACACTGACTACCGATATTGTCACAATATCCGATAAAATTACATGTACCTCAAATAGAATGATATATCAGTTAATGAAATCCTCCTTTGTAATATGGGGCGGTCGGGTAGCCTAGTTGTTAAAGAGTTCGCTCGTCACGCCAAAGCCCCGGGTTCGATTCCCGACATGGGTACAATGTGTGAAGCCCATTTATGGTGTCCCCCGCCGTGATATTGCTGGAATATTGCTAAAAGCGGCGTAAAACCATACCCACTCACTCACTCACTCACTCACTCCTTTGTAATGTATTTACACAAATAGATTCGATATGTTTGCATGTTCCCACAAACACATCTACAGAGTATGCTGAAAGAAATGTATGTATGTTTCATTGTACTGGACCTTTCAGGAGGAATGTGTGACTAACGCAGTAAGCTTAAACCAGATAATTTCAAATGTGACACTTTCCTTGATACCTTTCATGACAGGCAATGAAAACAATATAGAGAAACTCTTTGGAAGATTTAGTATTTAGACATTGATCTATCAGCGTTCACCTGTCTGAAAATATGATGACAATGCCATATTTAATATCAACGGTCAACGGGTACGGACATTGTGAAAAAGAAGCCACAAGCATGTAATAATTAATTAAAATATCACGATGTCCTTTGTATTGGGTGCTGTAATAACTTATTGCATAAACAATAGTTCCGAGAGAAACCTTCACACAAGAAATCCATTCAAGGCATCATTATACGTGAACAGATCTAAAATAGTTTCTGAACATATAATTACAGAAGGCTTTTAGGCTGACTTTTTGGGGGGTTGTTTTTAAAAAAATATTTTTAAGCTACGTACATACGTTCTTATTTCAAATAAACATTTTAAAATTCCAATTTTAACTCAGTACCTTGGAATTTTACGAAAACAATAAATAAAACAAATGGCCCTAAAAGTCTTCCCTATATAACAGTTTATGGGATGGTTTCTCTGCCAAATCAGATTCAAATGTTCAACATTTCCATCAGGACAGCCAGAAGATGTGTACCAAGTTTACACATGCGTAGTAAACCTTGTCATCCTCTTGGTGACTCGTGGTCCTTGTTTATCGTACAATAAAACACAGCAGGGAGAAAAACACATGAGGCGCATTAAGTGAACAACACATTTGCAAATTATTGTACATGTAATTACTATTCGACAATGTTTTTATTAGTACATGCTGTCTGAAGACCACACATGCATATTACAGTCCACTCGTGAAATACTTGTTTAAATAATGTTCAAATGAAAGAAATAACCATCGGACAAAACGGTATTCTGTTATACGATATCGTATGTTTATTGTGAAGGAAATATATATGTTTCAACAACTAAAAACACTGATGATTATTATAAGCCTGGATCTGGTAACAATTGTGATAAGCGTTGCTGAATTTTGTCTTGGAACATTGAAGGTCTTCGTAAGAAGTTAGAGGACAATGAATTCATTGAATATATTAGAAGCTTTGATATTGTTATTTTACCAGAAACTTTCCTTCATAAAACTGTTGATGCTCCTGAACTAAATGATTATGATATTTACTTTGCCAAAGCTCATAAAATTACAAATTACGGTAGACTGTCAGGTGGGGTATATATGTATGTGAAGAAACCTTTATCGTCTTATTGCGTTCAATACCCCTTGTCTTTTGATAATGCCGTTTGCATAAAATTATCTAAATGCCTATTCGGTTGTGATGAAGATGTTCTTTTATTTGGAATGTACATACCGCCATATGGATCAAACTACTATGATACCTCGGGAAAAAGAACAAGTTTTGAACAACTGGAACAGTGGTTGATTGAACATTTATCTGAACTGTTAAATTTTCACGTACTGATATGTGGTGATTTAAATGCACGTACTGGTAATAACAATAATCCCCCTGAGCCGTGTAATGATGAGGAAACAAGTGTATTCCCCGAGGAGGAACCTGTGCATGTCGGGGAGAGATCTTCAAAGGATACATTTATGAATAGATTTGGTAAAATGTTGTTAGATTTTTGCTTCGCATTCAACATGTGTGTCTTAATTTGGGGGTTCAAGGGGGATGAGCAGGGTGAATTTACTAATGTATCCGAGCAAGGTTGTAGTGTTGTTGATTATTTTATTGCCTCTCCTGCTCTTTTTGAATATGTCTCTCGCTTCACAGTCGAACAGAGGCTAGATTCAAAACATATGCCCTTGTTGCTATATTTTAACAGGCCACCCATTAGTACTGTAGATGTAGATGATTCAACAGAATGTAGATCATCCAAACACCAGTGGAATATGGATAATGTCAATACATTTGTTGAAAATCTTAAATCGATCTATTTTGAAACTTCTGCTAATCTCATGGCTAGCGTAAATGTCAAGATCAATTCAGTTCTTGGTATGTTTGTTTCCACTTTGCTAGATGCTGCAAGTTGTATGAAAAAAACAGTTTACCCTAAAAATGTTAGAAATGGATTTTACAGTTATGAGTGTAGGATAGCTAAGCGTAAAGCTAAGAAATATCTTAAACTATTTCGGAGATATAAATCAAACTTATTCAGAAGACAATAGCTTCAGCTTCAGGTATAGATGATGTGGTAATTGAAATGTTAAAAGTCTCTGAAATGTTGTCATGCCCTTTCTGAATGTGTTATTTAATAGAATATTTGAGTCTGGTGTTTTTCCTGAAGTTTGGTCAAAAGCTATTATTATTCCTGTTCATTAAAAGGAGAGAAAAGTTACCCTGATAACTATCGTGGTATTTCACTTCTCAGTGTTATAGGTAAAGTTTACACGTCTGTTTTAAGTAAACGACTAACTATATGGGCAAACATCAAGAACAGAATACCAGAAACACAGGCCGATTTCAGAAAGGGTTATGCAACCACTGACCACATATTTACTCTGTATGCTATTATTCAGAAATGTTTATGTAAAAAGAAATCAAAACTTTATGCAGCATTTGTAAATTTTAAAAAGGCTTTTGATTTTGTTAACCGTGATAAGTTGTGGAATCTCTTAATGTCTTATGATATAAGTAGTAAAATGTTAAAAGCTTTAAGAAATTTATATAAAAGTGTTAAATCGTGTGTAAAATGTGACCTAGGTTTCACAGATTATTTTGACTGCCTTACTGGTCTTCGACAAGGATGTATTTTGAGTCCATTACTGTTTTCACTTTTCATAAGCGAATTATCAAATGAAGTTTTTTTCTAATGGAAAGCATGGTGTACAGTTATTATTAACGTCAGATAGTGTCACGGGGCTACAGACTCAGTTGAATATTCTAGAAACCCACACAGAAAAATGGAATTTAACGGTAAATCTGGAAAAAACAAAAGTTGTTGTATTCAGACGAGGTGGGGTGCTTTCAAAAAGGATATTTGGTATTATAGGGGGAAAAGGTTGAGGTAGTGTCAAGCTACAAATATCTTGGTTTACCTTTTTATTCATCAGGAAAATTAATACTCGTAGTATATCTGATCTAGCACTAAGAGCAAAAAGAGCTTTGGTCGAATTGATTGCAACCTTAAGTAAAATTAAGATATTTGATTCGCAAATACAACCTATACTTTTATATGGCTCTGAAGTGTGGGGATTTCAGCAATAGGACAAATGGGAAAAAGTTCATCTATTAGCCTGCAAGAAATTCCTGCAAGTAGGACAACAAACCCCAAATGCTATAATCTACGGGGAAACGGGTCACTTACCACTGTACATCAACTCCTATGTTAGAACACTTAAGTTTTGGCTTAAATTAATTCATATGAATGAAGACAGATTGCCAAAAAAGGCTTATAATATGTTATTGTATTTAAATAACTGTGGACGCCATACATGGGCTTCTAACATTCGTTTACTTCTTTTTTCTCATGGCTTTGGTTTTGTATGGATATCGCAAACAGTTGGGAACCAGCTTTCATTTCTATGACTTTTTAAGGATACTTGTATAAACATGTTTTACCAAAACTGGAGATCAGTCTTAAACTCTAGTTCAAGATATCATTTATATGCAGAGTTTTAAAGTCTTTTAGAGCCTGAAAAATATCTTTAAATCTAAAATATAATTGTAAGATTTAGAGCAGGTCTTTTAAAATTGAAGAATAATGAAGGCAGATAGCTGTCGATAGAAAAAGTCTTTTCGAATATGTCCAGTCTGTAATAATGGTATAGAGGATGAATTTCATCTTTTACTCATTTGTTCATGTTATAATGATCTCAGAAAAGAATACTTACCGGCAAAACTTTGCCGATATCCTAGCTTGAACCATTTCAAATCTATTATGTGTAATTACAATGAAGCAGTCTTAAATAGTTTATCACGTTTCCTATATTACGCTTATGCAAAAAGAACAAGTAGTACAATTCAATTATGACATAAGTCATGGGTCACGTTACTTTACCGTTGCATCTGTGAACAATTGGTAAATTGTGAACTGTAATTGTATATGGGCCCGAGGCCTTCATGCAAATAAAAGTTCTCCTTCTTCTTCTTCTTCTTAACAACTGTAAATCACATAATTATATTCTGTTGGAAACATGTGGAACTATATCTGTCCTGGCAGGGTGGCACCATTCGAGGTTCGAACCTCGCCATCAAGCACATGAGGAAGGACCAAGGTGGACAAGGTGGCGTTGTCATTAACGTGTCATCCATAGCAGGTAGGTTGTGTAGCCCCGGTGATGGTGATACCTGGAAAAATATTTAAGCACCGCTAATTATATACACTCTTCACAAAAAGAAACGCACAGGTAGATTTTTAGTGAATATATTGTACCTAAAAAAGTCGATATGTTTAATTTAATATCATAGAGACAGATATAATTTTGGAGCTCGATAGGCAAATGTTGGCGTTGTACAAAGGCATTGAAAACTGTTCATTGTCATGTCACATAAGACCACAACTTTGCGCTGAACTCAGCGTCTTGTGTGGCCGCCCCGGGCAGCAATCGCAGCTCTGCATCTCCTCGGCACTGACTGAATAAGTGTACGAATTCTGTCCTGTGGAATACTGTGCCATTCTGGTTGTAACGCGTTGGCCAGTTGTGGGAGTATCTGCGGCGTGTTCTGACGTTGACGTACACGTCGAGCGAGTTCATCCCAGAGGTGTTGGATTGGGTTGAGATCTGGAGATCTCGACGGCCAGAGCAAACCATTGATGTTGGCATTATGGAGGTAGTCTACCTTGACACGAGCTGTGTGCGGTGGAACGTTGTCCTGTCATGGCGGTCAATGATTGGAAGAAGGTGAGGTTGAAGAATTTGATTCATGTAGCGATTTGCTGTCAATTTTCCCTGAACCACAACCAAGTCAGATTTCGTGGTGTGGAATATGGCCCCCCACACCATGACACTACCACCACCGAAATTGTCGAATTTACGCACACAATGTATGGCAAAACGCTCATTTCGACTACGATAAACACGTTGTCTTCCATCTCGCCGGTGAAGAAGAAATCATGGTTCTTCGCTAAACCACACTCGTCTTCAGTTTCTCAAATTCCAAGGCTGTAAGGTATGGCACCAACGCAAGCGTCGCTGTCGATGGATCTGTTGCAAAACAGGGACGATAACTGACCTTCTGGGTCGGATTTAAGCCCCGCGAAGATGGTCTTGTCCGATATCCTCCTCAAACCAGGGATGAGCCCTGCAGTCTCCGTAGCTGTGGCATTGCAATGACGTAGGTGGAACAGTCGAATGTAGCGATCCTGTGCAGGGGTGTTAACTCCTGGTCGGCAGGTTCTCGGACGGTCTGCGCTGGAATTGAAATGTGTGTATCGGTCACAAAGGCGGCAAATGGTGCTGTGATGGACGTTGAAGTGGCGTGCAACAGAAGACTACGATTCACCTCTTAGGCTACGTCCTACAGTGATGTTCCGATCGGCAGCGCTGAGTCTCGGCATTTTCGAACTTGTAAAATGTTGACAATTGAATGGCAAATTATTGGCTGATGCTTGCCTTTTTATAGCCACTACCACGAGTTACGAATGCCATAACTTGCACGTACATTTTGCTTTACTGTTTTCCTTCATGACATTTTTTAACAAGTGTGAAAACAATGCCGTTTAAGACATTGCAAATCGGCAATGGCTGTTCAGTCTGAGTGAAAAAGTTCCGACACATGATCTGTATAATCTATGTCAGACAGATTGTGGTTGACGAGGTCGTCCTTCAATGATCTGAGGCGGGCATCAATCTGGCGGTGAATTATTACAATTCGGCTTATGAAAGCTTTTCGGTATGTTTCATCTTCTAGAACAAGCGCTATATCTGTAAACACATCCAAATCGTGAGTAAACTGTATACACAGTCAATAACTCTTGAATAGTTTTGATCTTCTTAAGCACTTTATCTTTAAACACATCCGAATCGTGAGTAAACTCATTCCAACTGTAAACACAGTCAATAACGCTGAATAACTCGTTTAAATCAACCATAAAGTGTATTTCTACTAATGTATTTCGGTATGCCTCGTTTTTATCATCAAACGGTACGCATTCACGGTTCACCGCACTCACGGTACCAAAACTATAATTCGGACGACGATGCCAATCACTCTTGGACAGATCGACTTCACCTTGAAAATCTACTGTTCCCAACGACAATGATGTGTGCCCATTTTGAACAATCGATTACCATCTGTTCATTTTATATGATCTATAAAATCATGTACATCTAAAATCACTTTTGCGTTTCGTTTTTTGCAGAGTATATATGATAGCTACGAGATAAATCGCAAAGAACAATAAAGAACATATCGTGGTCATCTTATCTTTGAAAATCAATAAATTTGCCTTTTTGAACAATTATACATTTGAAACATGGTTGTGTCATCTGGCTGCAGATTCATTTCTTACCCCAGTCTTCATTGAATCAATTTATATTTACACCCACCCACATCTTACTTTTTACAAACTGTTACAGGAATGATTTCTTTCAAATAAAAACATGAAAACAAACTCGGTAAACTTTGTTTTGACTCTGATAATAACATAAAGGTGTGGACCTTAACTTTATTCCATATATATAAGACCCGTGAAGATTCCGGGGTAGAATAGGTCTTCAGCCACCCATTCGTTTGTTGTTTAACGCCGCACTCAGCAATATTCCAGCTATATGGCGGCGGTCTGTAAATGATCGAGTCTGGACCAGACAATCCAGTGATTCACCTAATGAGCATCAATCCACGCCATTTGGGATACGACGACATGCATCAACCATGTCAGCGAATCTGACAACCCGATCCTGTTAGTCGCCTCTTACGACAGACATAGTCGCCTTTTACAGTAAGTATGGGTTGCTGAAGACCTATTCTACCCCGGATCTTAGATAAACAATGTAAATACATGTATTACAGCTATTAAGTATAGGCATGTATGTGTGTCTGCTTGTACTAGTCCGGACAAATGTCGGTTTCGAAGTGCTCGCCCACTGAGATAACATGCCGTAGTTTAACATGAATACCCCACTCAGACACAGAAAACTGCCTTCAAATCGAGTATGGTTTGCTGAAGACCTATTCTACCCAGGAACTTCACGGATTGTTTTGAAAGGATATTCTGACTATTTTCTAGGTTTAGAGCCTTTTTACCGTGTTCCTTCGTACGCAGCAACAAAGCATGGGGTAATTGGATTCACAAGATCCTGGGCAGTAAGTATAGGTGTGGAGTTTTATAAAGACTTAACTTCAAAATATTTGACAGTGGACACACCAGTGTTTATGTTTATACACACATCTTCTAACACGTAAGGCAACAATAATATCTTCACAGGTTGCTTATGTAACTAAACACTTTGGGAACTGATGAAAACGACGTCAAACGACGTCAGAAATATACAGAATCCAATCAGGGCCATGCCATTTTTTATTATTTTTACAATTCAAGAAATAAAGGCATGGCCCTAATTGGCTCCCATAGAAATGAATTTAAGACACAAAAGGTAAACGAAACAAAATAAGTGACGTCATACAGCCCAGTCTTTCTTCAGCCAATCACGAAACAGTAGTCCGCTGTTGGGGGCGGCCTAGCTAATTTTAGGATTTTGGAAACAACAAAGAAATTATTATTGATTAGAAAATAAACTGTCATGGACAGACTAAGGATTTGTTTATTTGAAAATATACCTTCATGTCATGATATCCGAGCAACCAACACACAAACACGCAAGCGGTCCAACACACACCTACAATGAAGCAACGTCGACACAACAATAGATACAGTACACACTGTAATGGCTGCATTGTTAAAATATTGCAGACAAATCCCCATGTGAAGGAGCTGGGCCTGAGATTCCACGTGGTATGTCCTACTGCCTTTACATCGTATATAATTCCTGAACCGGAGTCGCAATTATTGTTTGCTGAAGATTTCATGAAAGTATATGAACAGTTTGGCTTCGAAGAGTAAGTAGCATTAAGGCCAGACATAAAGATGTGTTGTGATAAGTTGTTCTAGCGTTGAATCATATCCCAACGTAAGCTACCGGGAAAGTTAAAATTGGATTCACCTTATGAGACAAGTTTCGCAATACCAAAAGTTGATGTCATGACACCTAGCGGTACATATGTGCCCGATTATAAGGAGGACTGGTCGCCCTGTGTAATCGTTCAGATTATTATTATTATTATTATTTACAGATTAAAATAAAAGATGCAGCAAAGAGGGTTTGGGTGACCCTGGCACTGTCAGGCTGGTTAGGCTCATCATCAGCTCAGGGCCCTTTCCCCACTCTAGACGCAGTCCAGACAGCAAATGGGACTTTTCCCAGGAAGCGCTGCCTAGTCAAACCCACCCAGAACTTTTTGGAGAATGTGAAGACTCCACAACACTGCTGCCTTCTGCATTACCCAGATTGTCAGAAGGGCTGCATTCCTGGTAGCAAACCTGGGTACTCTCCCAATGTCTGTCAACAGATTGGGAGGTACCAAACCTGAGGCACCGAGAACAATGGAGAGTCGGACAACTTTGTACAAGCGTGACATTTTGAAAGCAAGGTCCGCATATTTGCCATGTTTTTCCTCAATCACATTAGTGTCAAAAGGGACAGAAAATTCAATGATATAAATGATTTCACTGGATTTATTAAAAAGGACAAGATCAGGTATGTTGGCCGTAAATGGGCCTATTCCAAAGAATTTTGTATTTATCATTTCCATGAAGCCCTCCACATATTCCGGGTCGTACCATGGGTAGACCTCTGTGTCAAAACCACAAGCATGAAGAAGACGGTAATAAAATGATCGAGCTACACCATCATGTCGCTTAAGATACTGTGTTTGTGCAAAAGTTGGACATCCACTGACAATGTGTTGGACAGTCTCATTAAATTCATTACATTTTGATGCAAAATCACACATTGACGGTTTTGAGTGGGAAGTGACTGGTCCTGAGCAGCAAACAGAAAACCCTCTGTTTCACTTTTGAGGCCAGACAACTTCATCCAAGCCAAGGACTCGGCGGGATTGCTGATCTTCACAACACACTGCACATAAACTCGATGCAGTGGTCGTATAGGCCTGACCTTCCATGAGATGGTCAATTACTCCTCCTCCAAGAAAACTGTGGAATGCCTTGTTTTCATCCCTTGTTTTCATCATGAGTCTTGACATGCTTCACAAGAGGATCATCAGACAAGAATGTTGCATTTGTCGAGTTATTATTATTATTATTATTATTATGTTGTTGTTGTTGTTTTTGTTATAAATTTCACACAGATACCTTTTCGGTAATGCCTATACCTTATATTTTACAGTTTTGACAGATTATTGAGAATGAATCACGTTTTATGTTTTCCAGTCCAAAGAACATAGCTGTTGCTGTGATTGGTCTGCTGGAGGAGGATGACAGTAACGGCACCATCCTACTCACGCATGCCACTGAACTCAACCGCAGAGTTAAGATAGAGGTGACTGACGCAACAACCTAAGGACGCTGGCCTCGATGTCACTGACCAACCAGCCAGTGGGTTTGCCCACCTGAGACGTTCTAAGATCGATTCGCGTGACATTCGGAAAAAAAAGTGTTCATGTTTCCCGTTGTGTATTTCCAACTAGGTAATTAAAACTGATGCTGAATCAGCATGACTTAATTCTTGATTCTTCAAGGCATCAGACCCGTGAGGATACGGGGAAGAAAAGGTCTTCAGCAACCCATGTTTGCTGTAAAAGGCGACTATGCTTGTCGTAAGAGGCGACTAACGGGATCTTGTGGTCAGGCTCGCTGACTTGGTTGATATATGTCATCGTATCCCAATTGCGTGGATCGATGCTCATGATATCAATCACTGGATTGTCTGGTCCAGACTCGATTATTTACAAACAGCCGTCATATAGCTGAAATATTGCCGAGTGAGGCGTTAAACAACAAACAAACAAACACAATCAAGGCATCAATACGGGCGACTAGGACAGTGGGTTCTGGTATACGTGCGACAAGAACAGGAATACTGGTCAATATAACGTTTAAAATCTCAAGCTACCGCGCTTGGTTTAAACTTAATTTCGAGCTTGTATAAATTCGTCATACTGACCCTATTTTCAAAAAACACAGCTGGTTTCGTCTCCCAATTATGCTTCATATATGTGTGTTTGAAGAAGAATATTTAGGGTCATAGCTTTACTTAAAAAAGATTAAAGTTATGCAGTTGTAGCTGAAAAATTTAAACCCGAATGCTCTATCAATCTTATTTGTTGGAACTCTTTCATAGCTCAGGTATCAGTGCGTGATGAGGTCCCGCATTCCAATCTCAAGTGGTATTGCTCGTAAAGGGGTGACCCGAATAATGGACCCGACCTCATGGCCTTGGCCCCAATGTGTAATCTTGAGTGTGATTGTTTGTCCTCCCTACAGGAAAGTAGGATCTAGGCTTCCCTCGTCAGTTGTTGCAAAGCGGCTTGCCGTTGGGGACTTTGACGTTTCAAACCTCACCTTAGTTTCTGTTGATGATAATGTATTTAACTTATTATCAAATTAAGAAACGCCGAAGGCATGTGCTCGATTCCCGACTTGGGTAAAATTTGTGAAGCCCATTTCTGCTGTCCCCCGTCGTTATTCATAAGAATCAGTGAGAGCCTTATAAAAGTCGTGTTTGCATCCAGAGCTGTCAAACGATTGCTGACACTGAATACCTGATACCCTTAATAACTGTTACCACTTCTGTATTTCCATTTCAGCCTTTGGTATTTGCATTTCACAACTTTTGAGATACAACCGAGCATGCTCTTTCTACCAAGATTTCAAAGAGCGTTATACGACTCTTGCTCAGAAGTTGTTTGATCAAGGTTACAACATTCAAGGCCGCAGTAAAGCTTTCCAAAATATTAATGGTAGACATGTGGAGGACATTTCCAAATTGGACGCATCATTGACAAAATAATTATGTCCGACGCAATTCCCTGTTCTGTTTTGACTTGTACCACATGTGTCCATGTTTTTTTAGGTGAACAGTTGCATGTGTTTGTGACGGGTGCCATCGGTGGGGCAGGATACATTCACCTTTCTGCGAACACCTGGCATCATTACTATTCTCAACAACAAAAGTTCCTGTGACACCAATATTTTAGTGTATTTTTCAAACAAGTAAAGTTTGGTTTTCAATATTGTAGTACATGTATGGAATCACGTCACACAAACGCAACTGCTACAGAAAAGCATGCATTCCATGCAAAGGTTGACTTTTATGCAAGCCCCATGCATTTCACTATCCAAGAATGGGTATAAAAACAAGTGCGTTAACGGGATTCCATATGCATTGTTTAGCATCGTGCTGACAACAACCACTCAGAAAAACAACAAAATTACGCAATTAGTCAACATTACGAAATGCCAAAATGAGCGTCTGCGAGCCATTGGTATGCTTGAAGCACGATCGATGTTGCAAGACAATTTAACGTCCACAGAAACACCATTTGGTTTCTTTTTTCTTTCTTGTAATATTAAGATACTAAGATGAAATTTGAAGATATTAGCATGAAATTTAAAGGAAGTATCTTGAAATTTCAACATAACATCTTGAAATGTCAACTTATGTAACTTGAAATTTGAACTTGGTATCTTGGTATCTTAAAAGGCTTCCGTACCCTTTTCTCCACTATTTGTCTTTCTAAGCCTTTAACTTCTTTACGTTCTCGGGAGGTTTGTCCATATTCTTCTCGTAGTGCTAATAAAGCAGGCATGTAGAGTTGATGCAAATCTCAGACGTTTACCACTTTGGTGAAACCCACGAGCACGGGTACGGAAGAAACAAAGTCAAGGCAAATCTTGGTTTCGAACCAATGATCTGGCACACCTCAGGGACGCAACTCTCTACTGCGATGACTGGGGTTAGCATACCCCCTCTCCTGTAAAGTACTTTTAAACCAGAGTGTTCTATTCTTATATTGTGGGCGTCGTTCCGAACATTTTTTGGATAGTAACGTCGCCTCCCCCTTGAACATCTTTTTTAAACGTCCAGTGTCCACCCTTGCATACCTAGGCTGGACTTTCGGAGTTACCTTTTTGTGCTGACAAACCTAGAAACACATTTGGGGTGAACAGGGATTCAAGGACACGATCAGAGGTTTCTGACGTCCCCAAAGAATTGCGACGCCTGAGATAACTGGGCATCACGTGGAGTCAATACCTTGACGTTGGCAGTTTCTTGGTTGGAAAGTCTGCCAAATCACTCTACCGTGGGCTTGCTTCCTTTTTGTTTGTTTGACTTTTTACATTCATGGTTCCACCTCAATTTTGGAGTCAAAGTAGAATGTTTCCTGGACTGTTTGTTTATTAACGCCGCACTCAGCAATAATCCAGCTATATTGCGGCGGTCTGTAAATAATCGAGTCTGGATCAATCCAGTGATTGACGTCATGACGCCTTCCACGCAATTTGGGATATGATGACATACATCAACCAAGTCAGCGAGCCTGACCACCCGATCCTGTTAGTTGCCTCATACGACAAGCATAGTCGACTTTTTCTACCCCGGATCTTCACAGGTCCACTTGTTTTTAGTAGCCAAGGGCATGCCAATAATATCTTTAGTAATGTTAGCATTTTATTACATTAAAACGTTTGTTTATAAGTTCACGTGTAATATGGTACTCACAGACAAAAGGACATTGTGACCAAATTGAAGTTTTAAATTTTCACCTTGGAACACAGAGACGAAGATTTGATTGAACTTCCCTGAAATTCAGTAAACACCCTTCTCTCTAATCCATTCGTGTCCTTTTACCATCATTTACAATCACCAGGTCTGATTCATGTAAAATAGGGGCGGTCGGGTAGCCTAGTGGTTAAAGCGTTCGCTCGCCACGCCGCAGACCGGCTTTTCAATGTTATTGATTTTGTTTTGTCAAAGTAAATCTTGACTGCGTTGAAAGTTTGGGCTATGAGACCTCTAAGGATTTTGGATATTCATACACCGCGGGGTTATTGTCTTATACCCCACTTCGGTCGAGGAGGTGAAAGTACAATTGTTTAAACTTGTCTGACCTATTCTCAAGTGGTGAGATAATAACCAGTGTAACTCTGGACATAGTTTGACTATCAAGAGCGATTGTATAACTGGGAGTATACAGTCTAAACACCAAAATGCAGATCAAAGGAAAGGTTGCCATAGTTACCGGTGGTGCAGGTGCCCTTGGACAAGCAATGGTCAGAGCTTTGTTGGAAAAAGAAGCTAAGGTAAAAAAAAGAACGGACATATCAGTTGATGTCGGTGAACATTCCAACTGTCAAACTGGTCCAAAATATATTTGGACAATGTTCAGCGTTAGATAGTCCGTACTGTAAACATTGTGTGTGTAGTCTGTGTTGTGTTCTGTACACATTGTGTATGTAGTCTGTGTTATGTTCTGTACACATTGTGTATGTAGTCTGTGTTGTGTTCTGTACACATTGTGTATGTAGTCTGTGTTGTGTTCTGTACACATTGTGTATGTGGTCTGTGTTGTGTTATGTACACATTGTGTATGTAGTCTGTGTTGTGTACTGTACACATTGTGTATGTAGTCTGTGTTGTGTACTGTACACATTGTGTGTCTAGTCTGTGTTGTGTTCTGTACACATTGTGTGTCTAGTCTGTGTTGTGTTCTGTACACATTGTGTATGTAGTCTGTGTTGTGTACTGTACACATTGTGTGTCTAGTCTGTGTTGTGTTCTGTACACATTGTGTATGTAGTCTGTGTTGTGTTCTGTACACATTGTGTATGTAGTCTGTGTTGTGTACTGTACACATTGTGGATGTAGTCTGTGTTGTGTTCTGTACACATTGTGGATGTAGTCTGTGTTGTGTTCTGTACACATTGTGGATGTGGTCTGTGTTGTGTTCTGTACACATTGTGGATGTAGTCTGTGTTGTGTTCTGTACACATTGTGGGTGTAGTCTGTGTTGTGTTCTGTACACATTGTGTATGTAGTCTGTGTTGTGTTCTGCACACATTGTGTGTGTAGTCTGTGTTGTGTTCTGTACACATTGTGGATGTAGTCTGTGTTGTGTACTGTACACACTGTGTGTACTCTGTGTTGTGTTCTGTACACATTGTGTGTGTAGTCTGTGTTGTGTACTGTACACACTGTGTATGTAGTCTGTGTTGTGTTCTGCACACATTGTGTATGTAGTCTGTGTTATGTTCTGTACACATTGTGTGTGTAGTCTGTGTTGTGTACTGTACACATTGTGTGTGTAGTCTGTGTTGTGTTCTGTACACATTGTGTATGTAGTCTGTGTTGTGTTCTGTACACATTGTGGGTGTAGTCTGTGTTGTGTTCTGTACACATTGTGTGTATGTAGTCTGTGTTGTGTTCTGTACACATTGTGTATGTAGTCTGTGTTGTGTTCTGTACACATTGTGTGTGTAGTCTGTGTTGTGTACTGTACACATTGTGTATGTAGTCTGCGTTGTGCTATGTACACATTGTGTATGTAGTCTGTGTTGTGTTCTGTACACATTGTGTATGTAGTCTGTGTTGTGTTCTGTACACATTGTGTATGTAGTCTGTGTTGTGTTCTGTACACATTGTGTATGTAGTCTGTGTTATGTTCTGTACACATTGTGTATGTAGTCTGTGTTGTGTTCTGTACACATTGTGTATGTAGTCTGTGTTGTGTACTGTACACATTGTGGGTGTAGTCTGTGTTGTGTTCTGTACACATTGTGTGTGTAGTCTGTGTTATGTTCTGTACACATTGTGTATGTAGTCTGTGTTGTGTTATGTACACATTGTGTATGTGGTCTGTGTTGTGTTCTGTACACATTGTGGATGTAGTCTGTGTTGTGTTCTGTACACATTGTGTGTGTAGTCTGTGTTGTGTTCTGTACACATTGTGTATGTAGTCTGTGTTGTGTTCTGTACACATTGTGTATGTAGTCTGTGTTGTGTTCTGTACACATTGTGTATGTAGTCTGTGTTGTGTTCTGTACACATTGTGTATGTAGTCTGTGTTGTGTTCTGTACACATCGTGTATGTAGTCTGTGTTGTGTTCTGTACACATTGTGTATGTAGTCTGTGTTGTGTTCTGTACACATTGTGTATGTAGTCTGTGTTGTGTTCTGTACACATTGTGTGTGTAGTCTGTGTTGTGTTCTGTACACATTCTGTGTGTAGTCTGTGTTGTGTTCTGTACACATTGTGTATGTAGTCTGTGTTGTGTTCTGTACACATTGTGTATGTAGTCTGTGTTGTGTTCTGTACACATTGTGTATGTAGTCTGTGTTGTGTTCTGTACACATTGTGTATGTAGTCTGTGTTGTGTTCTGTACACATTGTGTATGTAGTCTGTGTTGTGTTCTGTACACATTGTGTGTACTCTGTGTTGTGTACTGTACACACTGTGTATGTAGTCTGTGTTGTGTACTGTACACATTGTGTATGTAGTCTGTGTTGTGTTCTGTACACATTGTGTATGTAGTCTGTGTTGTGTTCTGTACACATCGTGTATGTAGTCTGTGTTGTGTTCTGTACACATTGTGTATGTAGTCTGTGTTGTGTTCTGTACACATTGTGTGTATGTAGTCTGTGTTGTGTTCTGTACACATTGTGTATGTAGTCTGTGTTGTGTTCTGTACACATTGTGTGTATGTAGTCTGTGTTGTGTTCTGTACACATTGTGTATGTAGTCTGTGTTGTGTTCTGTACACATTGTGTATGTAGTCTGTGTTGTGTACTGTACACATTGTGTATGTAGTCTGTGTTGTGTTCTGTACACATTGTGTATGTAGTCTGTGTTGTGTTCTGTACACATTGTGTGTGTAGTCTGTGTTGTGTTCTGTACACATTGTGTGTGTAGTCTGTGTTGTGTTCTGTACACATTGTGTATGTAGTCTGTGTTGTGTTCTGTACACATTGTGTATGTGGTCTGTGTTGTGTTCTGTACACATTCTGTGTGTAGTCTGTGTTATGTTCTGTACACATTGTGTATGTGGTCTGTGTTGTGTTCTGTACACATTGTGGATGTAGTCTGTGTTGTGTTCTGTACACATTGTGTATGTAGTCTGTGTTGTGTTCTGTACACATTGTGTATGTAGTCTGTGTTGTGTTCTGTACACATTGTGTATGTAGTCTGTGTTATGTTCTGTACACATTGTGTATGTAGTCTGTGTTGTGTTCTGTACACATTGTGTATGTAGTCTGTGTTGTGTTCTGTACACATTCTGTGTGTAGTCTGTGTTGTGTTCTGTACACATTGTGTGTATGTAGTCTGTGTTGTGTACTGTACACATTGTGTATGTAGTCTGTGTTGTGTTCTGTACACATTGTGTATGTAGTCTGTGTTGTGTTCTGTACACATTGTGTATGTAGTCTGCGTTGTGCTCTGCACACATTGTGTGTGTAGTCTGTGTTGTGTACTGTACACACTGTGTATGTAGTCTGCGTTGTGCTATGTACACATTGTGTATGTGGTCTGTGTTGTGTTATGTACACATCGTGTATGTGGTCTGTGTTGTGTTCTGTACACATTGTGTATGTTGTCTGTGTTGTGTTTTTGCAGGTTTGTGTTTTTGACATCCACTCTGGCAGAGGAGCCGAGGTACAGACAGAACTACAGAATCAGTTTGGTGCAAACAATGTTTCCTTCTCTATTTGTGATGTCACGGACGACAAGGGGTTTAAAGGTATTCCCTTCATTGCGGTAAATAAAAAAATGTGGTTGAAGTCTTTATTGTTTGTGACGACGTTTCAGGGCTATTTTATCCTGTCTACAGTAGATATGAGTTAATATTTGCATACATGCTATGTTTACACATGGTACGATTGGTGTACAAAGATAACAATAGAAAAGGGAGGTCGAAGAGGTTTACTGAACAGAAGCCAATTGAGCCCCAGCGGTGATGATAACGGGTGTGATAACGTTTTGCTCTGTCGTTAAACGCCGCTCTCAGAAATATCCAAGCTATATGACGGCGATGAACACACAATGCCATTTAGAAAGTGGTCAAATGTAACAAATATTATGATGATACTTCATGAACCTACATGACAATTCATGACACATCAAAACAACTATTGAAACTACATGATATTTCATGATACTTCATGACACCTCTTGACACTACATGACACTTCTTAACACTTCATGACACTACATGACACTACATGACACTTCATGACACATGATGACTTTTCTTGACACTTCACGAAACTACATGACACTTCGTGACACTTCTTGACACTACATGACACTTCATGACACTTCTTGACACTACATGACACTTCATGACACATCGCTACACTTCTTGACACTTGATGACACTACATCACAGTTCATGATATTTCATGACAATTCATGACAATTCATGCCACTTCATGACACTACATGACACTTCATGACACTTCTTGACACTACAAGACACTTCATGACACTTTCTGACACTTCATGATACTTCATGACACATCATGACACTTCTTTACACTAATGACACTTCGTGACATGACATCACACTCATAGTGAGTGATCGAGTTTGTTTTTACGCCGTTTTTAGCAATATTCCAGTAATATCACGGTGGGGGACACAATAAATTGTCTTCACACATTGTACCAATGTCGGGAATCAAACCCGGGTCTTCAGCGTGATGAGCAATCGCTTTCACCACAATGCTACCAGGCCACCCCCACACTCATGACACATCTTGACACTTCTTGACACTTCATGACACTACATCACATTTCATGACACTTCATGACACTTTTTGATATTACACGACACTACATGACTCATCATGACTTTTCTTGACTCTGCATGATACTTCATGCCACTGCATGATACTTCATGATACTTCATGACACTTCATGACACTACATGATACTTCATGACACTACATGATACTATATGATACTTCATGACACTATATGACACTACATGACACTTCCTTTCGCTTTTTGATACTACACGACACTACATGACACTACATGACACTACATGACACTTCCTGACATTTTATGACACTTCATGGCACTTCATGACACTACATGTTACTTCGTGACACTACTTGATACTACATGACACATCATGATACATCATGACACTTCTTGACACTTTATGACACATCATGACACTTCTTGACACTTTATGACACTTCATGACACTACATGATACTTCATGACACTTCATGACACTTCTGGCACTACATGACACTTCATGACACTTCTTGACACTACATGATACTTCATGACACTTCAAACAGACCTGGGATGAAGTATATTTCGGGATGAAAGTTAATTCAAGATCGTACATTGAAAGAATTCAAATGTTCAAACAGACTTTCTTTGTTTTTCAGATGCCTTCGACGGAGTTGTGGCACAACATGGCAAGGTGGACATCATGGTCAACAATGCAGCCATTGTCGACGAGCGGGGGGACATTGACAGGGTGCTGCTTGTCAACCTGGTGAGTGAATAGGAGAAAATAGGAGAAAATAGGAGAATAAAGTCGACGCTGTGAGAGAAAAGGCCAATAACAGAATTCCAACGAAAGGATTTATACTATGTGCATGATCTATATGCTGGATAACCCTTAAAATATTATTGAATTTCTTGTCAAATTCACTTTCAAAGCGCACAGAAAAATATAATATTTTCGTTATTTAGGAGTTTTCACTTGAAAAGTTGAAAATTTGTTTTATCATCCTCAGGGTGGGTCACTGAATTTGAAAGCCATTTTCTCAACCTTCGTTGAAGGTCAAGGTTACAATAAAGGCCATTCGTAACTTGGTCCTGCTTCTTTGTGTACTGAACCAACCTTCTGTGTTTTATTAGAGTAAGAGCACCAAAGTTTCCAACAAGAATTAATCAAACATGAGGCAGAAATTGTGGGTCAAGGTCACTAAACCGGAAATACGTATTGATATAGTTAGAGGCATAGTTTAAAGTTATCTTCCAGTAAACATCTCTTCCGTTACCGAATGTGATGTCATTATACCGGAAGTGTTCATAACTTTGTTATTTAGTCACCTATCAGCACAGACGTTGTACAGCCTTGGACATATGTTTTCCTAAACCGGAAGTGATAAGCCCGAAGTATTTGTATCTCTGGTATTGGCCTAGCTAGAGGTCAAGGATCAACCAACAATAAACAATGTCATATAGGAAACCTCTAACTTCATGTACGTCTCTCTGGTCTTATCAACCATCCACTCAACTACTCAAACATTCTCTCAAGTACTCACTCATCCAGACACTTAACCACTCACTCAAACTTTCACGTAACCATTGACTTAACCACTTTCGCAGCCACTCACTCAACCAGACGCTCAACCACTCTCTCTAGTACTCACTCATCCTGACTCTGAACCACTCACTCATCCAGGCACTCAACCACTCACTCATCCAGACACTCAACCATTCACTCACCCAGACACTGAACCACTCAATCACCCAGACACTCAACCACTCAATTATCCAGACACTCAACCACTCACTCATCCAGACACTCAACCACTCACTCATCCAGACACTCAACCACTCAACCATCCAGACACTCAACAACTCAATCACCCAGACACTCAACCACTCACTCAACCTTTCACTTTACTATTCACTCAACCATTCACTCAATCACTCTCTCTTCTGCTCACTCATCCACACTCTCAACAACTCACTCATCCAGACACTCAACCACTCACTCATCCAGACACTCAACCATTCACTCACCCAGACCCTCAACCACTCAATCATCCAGACACTCAACCACTCACTCATCCAGGCACTCAACCATTCACTCACCCAGACACTCAACCATTCACTCATCCAGACACTCAACCATTCACTCATCCAGACACTCAACCATTCACTCATCCAGACACTCAACCACTCACTCACCCAGACACTCAACCATTCACTCATCCAGACACTCACTCACCCAAACATTTATGCATTTTGTAACTCATGTACTCACTCAATTCACCCGCTCAGTATTCTACGCTCCTTTTCCTGGCAGGGTGGCACCATTAGAGGTTCGAACCTCGCCATCAAGCACATGAGGAGGGACGAAGGTGGACAAGGTGGCATTGTCATTAACGTGTCATCCATAGGAGGTAGGTGACAGAGGCCTGGTTTTTGGGGTTGATGTTGAAGACGATGATGTTGATGTTGTTTAAGATGATGGTGAATGAGGTGAAATGATGCCGATATTGACAGCGATGACAAGCACAGACCATCATGGTGACAGAGATGTGTGTAATTATGTGGGGCGGTCGGGTAGCCTAGTGGTTAAAGCGTTCACTCGTCACGCCGAAGACCCGGGTTCGATTCCCGACATGGGTACAATGTGTGAAGCCCATTTCTGGTGTCCCCCGCCGTGATATTGCTGGAATAATGCTAAAAGCGGCGTAAAACCATACCCACTCACTCACTCACTCTTAATTATGTTTTAGGAGCATAAGACGCAAGACCAGTCCATTTTTTTAAAGGGGTGCAGTGGTGCGTCCATTAGGCGTGCCTTGAAATCTGTGATCGGGGTTTGAATCCCGATGTTACCCTGATTATGTTTCTAGGTTTGCAAGCACCATACCCGTGCTCGTGGGTTTCACCAAAGTGTTGAACGCCGAAGACCCGCATCATTTAGAATATGTCCTGAACGTCAAGCTGATACAACGTTATGTAACTAGGATACCGTTAAAAAAACTCACTCTCTGAACATTTAAAATTAAGTGGTGTTTATTTTGGCCAAGATATTAAATCAATGATTAATATCAAGCTACCCTCATCAACTCATTCGTTGTTTAAACACGTGGAAAGCCATATAGTCCACAGCGTCGTTATTATTATAAGACCCCAAATGAACCTCCAGGCAGACTGGGCGCCGGTTGAAACTGCGCAGCGCGTCAAATATCTGGAACCCGTTTTAACCTCCAGGAAGGGAAATCCCCCGTGGAGGAAACTTTCGTTTGGGGGACGATTTCCCATGTCATTTATTGTCTCTTTTACGCTATTTCCTTTTTCCACTCAAATATAGGTCAAATCTGCAAAGTTGCTATGTTCACTTTAGTTTCTTTTTGTTTTTTTTTGTTTATAAAACAAACAAAAACAAAAAAGGATCTTTCATATGATGAAATCCAATATGGCAAAGGTGACATGGTCCAATCTGTTTTCAGGTTTCACCCCTTTCCATGCCCTTCCATCATATGTCGCCACAAAGCATGGTATAACGGGGTTCACACGTTCCTGGGCAGTAAGTATCATAACACACACACACACAAACACACACACACACACACACACACACACACACACACACACACACACACACACACACACACACACACACACACACACACACACACACACACACACACACACACACACACACACACTCACTCACTCACACTCACTCACTCACACTCACACTCACACTCACACTCACACTCACTCACACTCACACTCACACTCACACTCACACTCACTCACACAAACACACACACACACACACAGAGAGGAACATAAGGGATCCGACTGAAATTCGACTCGATTATTTACAGACCGGCGTCATATAGCTGGAATATTGCTGAGTGCGGCGGAAAACAACAAACCAACCAGCTTATCTCAAGAGGAATCGCCATCTCACTCAACTCAACCAAAATTAGAAATATAATTATGTAAAGTAAATTGAAAAAAACTCAAACTCAAAACAGCCAAAGTGTCGACATCTTCCCGAGGCAAGAGAGTTAACTGACTATAAAAGTCCAGTTTCCACCCTTGCCGAACTAGGCTGGGATTATGGAGTTACATTTTGGCTGGACTAACGAGTCTATGCATAGTCAAATCAAAATCGCGCATCGAAATCGAAATCCGGTTCGTGCATTGTCGTGGATATTTCAGGATTTGCAAAGCATGTGCACCGTCAACTCGTTGTCAGCAGATATTTTCCAAATCTTTTCATGTCACATACTAATATATACTAGCCACATAAAGAAACTGTGCACGGAGAAAATATATTCTGGATTGAAATACAACAAAGCAAGAACAAAATGATGCAGACGCTGTAGCAGCTGAATGATCGGACCATAAGAAAATGTCAACGGGACCTGAACAACATCTGTTACGATGACGTCAGAAGATCAAAATGGAGTAGGGGGTCAAACGACAAAGTCACAAAGTCAATAACGGGTATGACCACCCTGTGCGTGAATCACAGCTGTGCATCGGCGACGCATGGAGTCCACCAAATGGGCATGGAAGGACATGGGAATGGCCTGCCATATCCTCCTCAAATCCTGTGCCAAGTCACGGACGTTATCTGGAGGATGTGGAAGACGACGCAGACGGCGCTCCATTTCATCCCACACATGCTCTATTGGGGAGAGATCTTGACAATTTGCAGGCCATGGCAGTAACATGACATTGTTATGGTGAAGGAAATCCATTGCGACCCTAGCCGTGTGAGGACGAGCGTTGTCCTGTTGAAATGTCAATCCCAGGCCATGACGTTGCAGGAAAGGAATGACCACAGGCCTCAGAATCTGATCTCTGTAGCCAACACCGGTGAGATTGCCCTGAACAACCACCAAATGGGTTCGGTGCCGTGCTGTTATCCCACCCCAAATCATCACAGAGCCACCTCCAAAACGATTCCTCTCCCCAATACGGTTGCGTGCATAACGTTCTCCCAAACGCCGGTAGACACGTTGGCGCCCGTCACTGTGGGAAATGTTGAACCTCGAGGTTGGCGAACATGATTTCGACACCATCTTAGACGGTTGACGCGATGACGGTGTGTCAGGATGGGACGTATGGCAGGGCGTCGTGGTCGAATCCCGTACTGACGTAAACGATTCCTGACAGTGTTGGGATGGATACGGCGCAGTCCAGGAATTGTCTGGGACGGCGTTACTGCCGTTTGGAACCTGTGTCGGAGATGTGTAACTCGAATCCATCTGTCCTGTCTTGGCGTCGTTACTCGGGGACGTCCTGAACGTGGGTGGTCGGCAACGTCATTTGTGTTCTGATAACGCCTCACCAATGCCGATATCGTGTTACGATGGCATTGGAAATGTGTTGCCACCTGTTGTAGCCTCATTCCCTTTCGGATCATTCCAATGGCTTCATGACGCTGTGCAGCTGTCAATCTTGGCATGATTTGCTTGTGTCTGCGCCTGGGAAGTTTTGAATTTTTAAATGGCCACAGATCATGCTTTCCAAAGTGATAGCGAATTTTGAGTTGCACATGTTGTGTACAGCTGCACAGGATGCACGTGCAGTAACACATTGCACGTCCATAGGCCCCCATCAATGACGTCACATCGCATGGCATGTGCATGAGCGTTTGAATGTCTCAAATAATTGCTGTGTTCAAACCTATATTTCATATGTGGACGGTGTGCCCTTATATCTATATTTTCTCCGTGCACAGTTTCTTTATGTGGCTAGTACAGTTAGCTGTTTCACAGTGATACACACTTCAGATACACGACCTCATATGTCAACAACCTTTGAATTTTCAAGGCAAATCCGCATTTGGAGACCCTCGGACTGAGATTCGGCCAGCTATGTCCCACCTTTTTCAACTCGTTCATTGTGCCCGACGTGGAGAAACAGATGTTGTATGGCAAAGAACATATGGATAAAGACCATGCCAATGGGAACCAAGAGTGAGTGTTTTGATTTAACAGTACACCGATTCACAAAAACACCACCCCAGAAACACACACAAACCCCTAGAGCCCATGAAAAACACATACAAACCCCACATCCCCCGGAAACACACACAAACCCCTAGAGCCCCAGAAACACTCACAAACCCCATCGCCCCCAGAAACACACACAAACCCCACCGCCCCCAGAAAAACACACAACCCCCTAGAGACCCAGAAACACACACTAACCCAACCGCCCCCAGAAACACACAAAACCCCACGGCCCACAGAAACACACATAAACCTCTAGGCCCCCAGAAACACATACAAACCCCACGACCCCCAGAAACACACACAAACCCCACGGCCCACAGAAACACACACAAACCCCTAAAGCCCCAGAAACACACACAAACCCCACGGCCCACAGAAACACACACAAACCCCTAAAGCAAAAGAAACACACACTAACCCCACCGCCCCCGGAAACACACTAACACAACCGCCCCTAGAAAAACACGCAAACCCCTAGAGCCCTAGAAACACACACAAACCCCTAGAGCCCCAGAAACACACACAAACCCCACGGCCCCCAGAAACACACACAAACCTCAAGGCCCCCAGAAACACACACAAACCCCACGGCCCCCAGAACACACACACAAACCTCAAGGCCCCCAGAAACACATATAAACCCCACGACCCCAAGAAACACACACAAACCCCACGGCCAAGAGAAACAGACACAAACCCCTAGAGCCCCAGAAACAATCACAAACCCCTAGAGCCCCAGAAACACACACAAACCCGATGGCCCCCAGAAACACACACACACACCTAGGGCACCATAAACTCACACAAACCCCTAGGCTCCCGGAAACACACACAAACCCCTTGAGCCCCAGAAACACACACAAACCCCACCGCTCCCAGAAACACACACTTATGCCACGAACCCAAGAAACACAAAAAAAACCTAGAGCCCCAGAAACACACACAAACCCAACCGCCCCTAGAAACACACACAAACACTAGAGCCCCCCAAACCCACACAAACCCCACGGTCCCCAGAAACACACACAAACCCCTAGAGCCCCAGAAACACATACAAACCCCACGATCCCCAGAAACACACACAAACCCCTAGAGCCCAAGAAATACACACACACCCCTGGAGCCCCAGAAACACACACAAACCCCACGGCCCACCAGAAACGCACACAAACCCCTAGAGCCCGAGAAACACACATACACACCCCTAGAGCACCAGAAACACACACAAACCCCATGGTCCCAAGAAACACACACAAACCCCCAGAGCCACAGAAATACACACAAACCCCTGGAGCCCGAGAAGCACACACGAACCCCATGGTCCCCTAGAAACGCACACAAACCCCTAGAGCCCTAGAAACACACACAAACCCAATGGCCCCCAGAAACACACACAAACTCCATTAGCCCCAGAAACACACACAAACCCAACCGCTCCCAGAAACACACACAAATGCCACGAGCCCCAGAAACACAAAAAAAAACCTAGAGCCCTTGGAAAACACACAAACCCAAACGCCCCTAAATACAGACAAACCGTAAGGCCCCCCAAACCACACAAACCCCACGGCCCCCAGAAACACACACAAACCCCTAGAGCCCCAGATATACACACAATCCCCTGGAGCCCCAGAAACACACACGAACCCAACGGCCCCCTAGAAACGAACACAAATCCCTAGAGCCCCAGAAACACACACACACCCCTAGAGCACCAGGAACACACACAAACCCCACGACCCCGAGCATCACCCGATCCCCGATCACGACAAATTTGTTTTAGGTGAATTCCGTGCATTCAGATGATATAGTGTTACTTCGTTCAGACCCACGAAAACAGGTTTGGTGTAGACAGACCAACAGAATGTTGGACTCGAACAAGTGATCATCAAATGGCAAGGACAGGCAAGAGGGAAGTGTTGGAAGTGGAAGACCCTCGGTCCACCCTGGTTAATTGAAGCACCTGGACCACTGGTCCAACCTAGTGAATTGCAGCACCTGGACCACTGGTCCAACCTAGTGAATTGCAGCACCTGGACCACTGGTCCAACCTAGTGAATTGTGGCACCTGGATCCCTGGTCCACCCTCGTGACTTGTAGCACCTAGACTCATGGTCCATCCTAGTGAATTGCAGCACCTGGATCCCTGGTCCATCCTAGTGAATTGCAGCACCTGGATCCCTGGTCCATCCTAGTAAATTGCAGCACCTAGACTCATGGTCCATCCTAGTGAATTGCAGCACCTAGACCCCTGGTCTACCCTAGTGAATTGTAGCACCTAGACCCCTGTTCCACCCTAGTGAATTGTAGCACCTAGACCCCTGGTCCACCCTAGTGAATTGTAGCACCTAGACCCCTGGTCTACCCTAGTGAATTATAGCACCTAGACCCCTGGTCTACCCTAGTGAATTGTAGCATCTGGATCCCTGGTCCACCCTAGTGAATTGTAGCACCTAGACCCCTGGTCCACCCTAGTGAATTGTAGCACCTAGACCCCTGGTCTACCCTAGTGAATTGTAGCACCTAGATCCCTGGTCCACCCTAGTGAATTGTAGCACCTAGACCCCTGTTCCACCCTAGTGAATTGTAGCACCTAGAACCCTGGTCCACCCTAGTGAATTGTAGCATCTGGATCCCTGATCCACCCTAGTGAATTGTAGCACCTAGACCCCTGTTCCACCCTAGTGAGATGTAGCACCTAGACCCCTGGTCCACCCTAGTGAACTGTAGCATCTGGAACCCTGATCCACCCTAGTGAATTGTAGCACCTAGATCCCTGGTCCACCCTAGTGACTTGTAGCACCTAGACCCCTGTTCCACCCTAGTGAATTGTAGCACCTAGACCCCTGGTCCACCCTAGTGAATTGTAGCATCTGGATCCCTGATCCACCCTAGTGAATTGTAGCACCTAGACCCCTGGTCCACCCTAGTGAATTGTAGCATCTGGATCCCTGATCCACCCTAGTGAATTGTAGCACCTAGATCCCTGGTCCACCCTAGTGAATTGTAGCATCTGGATCCCTGGTCCACCCTAGTGAATTGTAGCACCTAGATCCCTGGTCCACCCTAGTGAGATGTAGCACCTAGATCCCTGGTCCACCCTAGTGAATTGTAGCACCTAGACCCCTGGTCCACCCTAGTGAACTGTAGCACCTAGACCCCTGGTCCACCCTAGTGAATTGTAGCACCTAGACCCCTGGTCTACCCTAGTGAATTGTAGCACCTAGACCCCTGGTCCACCCTAGTGAACTGTAGCACCTAGACCCCTGGTCCACCCTAGTGAACTGTAGCACCTGGACCACTGATCCACCCTAGTGAATTGTATCAACTGGACCACTGATCCACCCCAGTGCATTGTAGCACCTGGAACCCTGGTCCACCCTAGTGAATTGTAGGACCTAGACCCCTGGTCCATCCTAGTGAATTGTAGCACCTAGACCCCTGGTCTACCCTAGTGAATTGTAGCACCTAGATCCCTGGTCCACCCTAGTGAATTGTAGCACCTAGACCCCTGGTCCACCCTAGTGAATTGTAGCACCTAGACCCCTGGTCCACCCTAGTGAATTGTAGCATCTGGATCCCTGATCCACCCTAGTGAATTGTAGCACCTAGACCCCTGGTCCACCCTAGTGAATTGTAGCATCTGGATCCCTGATCCACCCTAGTGAATTGTAGCACCTAGATCCCTGGTCCACCCTAGTGAATTGTAGCACCTAGACCCCTGGTCCACCCTAGTGAACTGTAGCACCTAGACCCCTGGTCCACCCTAGTGAACTGTAGCACCTAGACCCCTGGTCCACCCTAGTGAACTGTAGCACCTGGACCACTGATCCACCCTAGTGAATTGTATCAACTGGACCACTGATCCACCCCAGTGCATTGTAGCACCTGGAACCCTGGTCCACCCTAGTGAATTGTAGCACCTAGACCCCTGGTCCACCCTAGTGAATTGTAGCACCTAGACCCCTGGTCCACCCTAGTGAATTGTAGCACCTAGACCCCTGGTCCACCCTAGTGAATTGTAGCACCTGGACCCCTGGTCCACCTTGCCCTTGAAGGCATTATGAATTTATTATGATTCATTTAAGCTCATTTTACATTACAGTCCAAAGGACATAGCTGCGGGTTTAATTGAAATTCTGGAGGATGATGACAGTAACGGCGTCCTTCTTCACTCTCATCCAGTTGATGGGAGCCGCAGAGTGACGATACAGGTGGCTGATGAGTCAACTTGAGAGCATGCGTTACCATTAAATACATGTAGATTCTCTGGTTCCCCACAAGGGGAACGACATTGCTTTTGAACCTATTTGGTTAACCTTCACTGATGATCTTAACTGATAGATGTTTTGGGAACTTTGTCTGGAGCCATGAGGGTTTTGTTTTGTGCTGCAGCCAGCCATATTTCAAGTATATAATGATTCATTAAATATTCGAGTCTTCACCATGTTGTTATATGACAGTGTAATGTATTGTTAAACTATGATTATAACTGTTTTGCATTGTTTCTGTTCAGATTCAGTAGAAGCCCACTGCATTGTATTTGGAAACGTTGGGGAGTTCCCACTTTGCTAATTGTTAGATATAGAAATCACTCAGCCGTGATAGTCTCCCATACAATTGGGGAGAAGGTTAAAGTCTGTTTCGCTAGCCTATAGTCTATAGCCAGCCAAAAATAAAAAAAGGTAATTATGAATATTAGCATTATTTTTTTATTCACTTTGCATAATTCTGGTGATGTATTTATATTTCATTATAAAATCGTGCAATTACTTTATATTCTAATAGGAACTGACATTCATATCATACAGTATTCATATACCAGTTCAACAATATGTACATCACAAGTTTCATTTATTATTCATATCCATTCGTGACCAACTCGTGTTATTCCTGGACAAGCCGAATAGCGACTCGTGCCCCTCTCGTGGCCATTTTGCGACCGGGTTCCGTCCTAGCGCAAACGGGCATACCTAAAACAATTGTCAACTCGTTGTGAAATGGTTCACATATATTTCCCCGTATATTATTTATATTTCATATGGAATTTAAAGCACATCGAGACATACGGAATTATACAGTATGATTGAACACATTTAACTGTATCTTGGGTTTATTTTTAGATGCAAGACGTATGTAAAATCAAAAATTATATCTGAGGGATTCTTTGACGATGAACTTGAAATTATACGCGCATTCTGATTGGTTTGTCGTATTTTCGCACATAACATTCGTCGATAGGGGGACGAGTCTTCTTGCAGGTTACGGAAAAGGGCGAGTGGTGACGAATGATTCATATCAGCAGAGCATACCCAGACTTATTTTAATATTGCAAACACACATTCACTCTTCAAGGCAGCGTGGGGATCCGGGGTAGAAAGGAGACCAGGGGTAGAAAGGAGACCCGGGGAAGAAAGGCGACCAGGGGTAGAAAGGCGACCCGGGGTAGAAAGGAGACCAGGGGTAGAAAAGCGACCAGGGGTAGAAAGGCGACGAGGGGTAGAAAGGAGACCCGGGGTAGAAAGGAGACCCGGGGTAGAAAGGAGACCAGGGGTAGAAAGGAGACCAGGGGTAGAAAAGCGACCAGGGGTAGAAAGGAGATCAGGGGTAGAAAGGAGACCCGGGGTAGAAAGGAGACCAGGGGTAGAAAGGAGACCAGGGGTAGAAAGGAGACCCGGGGTAGAAAAGCGACCCGGGTAGAAAGGAGACCCGGGTAGAAAAGCGACCAGGGGTAGAAAGGAGATCAGGGGTAGAAAGGAGACCCGGGGTAGAAAGGAGATCAGGGGTAGAAAGGAGACCCGGGGTAGAAAGGAGACCCGGGGTAGAAAGGAGACCAGGGGTAGAAAGGAGACCAGGGGTAGAAAGGCGACCAGGGGTAGAAAGGCGACCCGGGGTAGAAAGGAGACCAGGGGTAGAAAGGAGACCCGGGGTAGAAAAGCGACCAGGGGTAGAAAGGAGACCAGGGGTAGAAAGGCGACCAGGGGTAGAAAGGAGACCAGGGGTAGAAAGGAGACCCGGGGTAGAAAGGCGACGAGGGGTAGAAAGGAGACCCGGGGTAGAAAGGAGACCCGGGTAGAAAGGAGACCAGGGGTAGAAAGGAGACCCGGGGTAGAAAGGAGACCAGGGGTAGAAAAGCGACCAGGGGTAGAAAGGAGATCAGGGGTAGAAAGGAGACCAGGGGTAGAAAGGCGACCAGGGGTAGAAAGGAGACCAGGGGTAGAAAGGCGACCAGGGATAGAAAGGCGACGAGGGGTAGAAAGGAGACCCGGGGTAGAAAGGAGACCAGTGGTAGAAAGGAGACCAGGGGTAGAAAAGCGACCAGGGGTAGAAAGGCGACGAGGGGTAGAAAGGAGACCAGGGGTAGAAAGGCGACCAGGGATAGAAAGGCGACGAGGGGTAGAAAGGAGACCCGGGGTAGAAAGGAGACCAGTGGTAGAAAGGAGACCCGGGGTCGAAAGGAGACCCGGGGTAGAACAGAATGTGTCCCTAACACCCCGTTGCTGGTCGCAAGAGGCAACAGAAATGGGCCACCCGTTTGCCGTGGGTTGCGTCCCTGTGTCGGCGGAGGACGGGAGTCTGGTGGTTGAGAGTACTGGTTACAGGAGTAGTGTTCCTTTGCCCAATACACAACTTCGGCCATTACTTCGCCCAGACAGGTGGTAGGATGAGTCTGGTCCTATCAATCTGGTCATGCCAAGCCCTGAGTACCTTACTTTTCTTGTTCGCTCACTGATTGGCTTGGAAGTTTATATTTATGATTAATAATAATAATAATAATAATAATTGATTTGTAAAGCGCCTAATATCCATCGACAGTTGCTCACTGGCGCTGTCACAAGGTTAAAAAGTAATATCTATGTACATATGACAACAATAAGGAGATCTATTGAAAAGCTGAGGTGAAAAAGTGGGTTTTGATTGAGTGAGTGAGTTGGATTTAACGCCGCTTTTAACAGTATTCCAGTTACATCACGGCGTGTCAGCTTAATGTGGGAGAAAAGCCCGAAATGATGCAGGTCTCAGACGTTCACCACTTCGGTGAAACCCACGAGCACAGATATGGTGCTTACAAGCCTAGAAACATAATCGGGGCGAACCGGGATTCGAACCCACAATCATAGGTTTTTGGCGAGCCCAAGGGACGCAACTCTGCACAGCGAATTGCGGCGCCTCAGACGACTGGGCCACCCGTGGCCCCTATTTATGATTGATTTGTTTTGAATATTCATTTACACTGATTTTCATGACACTTGTTAAATTCAAAATTTGCCTAGATGCTAGTGCCAGAAGGCGGTAGCTCATGGGCCAATCTGGTCGTATATATCTAATTCAAGATTAAATTCTGCTTGAGCATACCCTCCTGTATCCTTGGTGCGACCTGTTAGAGGTCCACAGACATGATACGTCGTCCATTAAGACACCCTGTGGCAGGTGGGGAGCAATTAGGGCGAAAAATATTCGATACTGGCCAATGTCCCTGTTGAGGTTTCCCCCAATGGCCTTTTGACCAACTGTAAAGGCATAATCCACGAGGTGAGGTGAAATGGGGTTTAACGTCGCGTCCAAGATTAATGCACTTATATAGCGACGTGCATGTACGTGTGTGTGTTTGTGTGATTGCTTGTACTAGTCCGGACTGATGCCGATTTATAGTGCTAGCTCACTGAGATACCATGCCGCAGTTTAACATGAATACCACACTCAGCCACATTATACTGACTCCGAGCCGACCAGTCCTTGTTTTAGCCCCTTAATGCCGAGCGCCGGACAGAACAAGTACCATCTTTTTACGTCTTTTGGTATGACGCGGTCGGGGATCGAATCCCGGACCTTCCGCTCTCCGGGTGGACGCTCTACCACTAGACCACGGAGGCGGTCGCATAATCCACGATGTTGGACACTGCCTCTAAGACTTGACAGGGAGTGGCATTGTTTCAGATCTACACTCACAAGGAGTTGCTGCTGTTAAACATTTCACAGCAAGGAAAGACAACGAAGTCACAAAGAGAATTACTTAATTATTTACATTTGGTCTTCCACGAGTCCAGAATAGAATCGCTCAAACCTGGATAATTTAAAGTTGATGTGGTTATCCCCTATCCCCTGAGATGCTACCGAGGTCAAAAGTATGGTCATGCCTCAAAATCATGCCATGAGGACGCTGCCTGTCATAGATGTGGTGGAAAGTGTGAAAATGGTAGATTGTGTGACAAACCCCCTGCCTGTGTAAACTGCTCTGGAAGTCATCCATCATCTTCAAACGATTATCCTACGTGGAACCTACAATCTTAGATCTCACGAATCAAGCATGAGCGTAAAATCTCTTTTCTGGGAGCAAAAGAAGATTGTTCTAGCTCAGGAAAAAGCAGGCCCATCTCATGCTGATGCTATTTCTGTTTCTACTCCACCTCCTGCTGTTGTAAGTACGTTGTCAGATCGAATACACAGGGGCTAAAGCTTCAGCTCCCACCTACCTTGTTGCAGTCCAAGTGAGGACTCCTCAAGAGACCTCCAGTTCACAAACAATCATTCAGTCACAGGGATCTTATCATGGGATCATCCTTATCCCAAGAGGCCCGTGAAGATCCGGGATAGAATAGGTCTTCAGCAACCCATGCTCGCCGCAAAAGGCGACTATGCTTGTCGTAAGAGGCGACTAACGGGATCGGGTGGTCAGGCTTGCTGACTTGGTTGATGCATATCATCGATCTCAATTGCGTGGATCGATGCTCATGATATTAATGACTGGAGTGTCTGGTGCGGACTCGATTATTTACAGACCGCGGTCATATAGCTGGAATATTGCTGAATGTGGCGTTTAACAACAAACCAACGAGCTTATCTCAAGAAAAATCGCCATCTCACTCAACTCAGCCAAAATTAGAAATATAATTATGTAAAACTCAAACCAAGAACAGAATTTTCCAAAAAGTATCAGAGTGATAGAGACTCTAAAGGGGCAGATAGCAAGATCAAACTGTTCAATGAGGATGGATCCCTTGAGGTTATGGATGTGTCTGACAACATCCATCATAGGACACAAAGCTTGTCGCCCTCAAGGAAGGTGAGGGGCAGATGTCCCGTCAATCCTCCGAAGAGATAGCTTCTTCACATATTGTACAATGGAATTGTAGAAGACTGAGGACTAAATTGAATGAGTTACAGCTCTTAGTTCAGGGTTTTAAACCTTCAGTATTCTGTCTACAAGAAAGCAGACAGATGATTTTAACTTACGTGAGTTTAATACATATCGTTATTGTTCTCCTCCAGGAGATAGGGTGAGGTGAGGTGAAATTGGGTTTAACGTCGCGTCCAAGATTATTGCACTTATATAGCGACGTGCATGTAAGGTGTGTGTGTTTGTGTGGCTGCTTGTACTAGTCCGGACTGATGCCGATTTATAGTGCTAGCTCACTGAGATACCATGCCGCAGTTTAACATGAATACCCCACTCAGACACATTATACTGACTCCGAGCCGACCAGTCCTTGTTTTAGCCCCTTAATGCCGAGCGCCAGACAGGGTAACAACAAGTACCATCTTTTAACGTCTTTTGGTATGACGCGGCCGGGGATCGAACCCCGGACCTTCCGCCCAGGAGATAGGGCCACTGGTGGATCCTTAATCATTGTGAGGCAGGATGTTATCTATAGCCCCGTTATTCTTAAACCTAATCCACAAGCCGTTGCAGTACGA